TATACATTAGGTGTTTTATTCTGTACTCTTTGTGTTTCCCTTGACTAATTTTGTGGATAGTTGATTTTATTTTGTATTCGGTAGTATTTTGTTCATCTGCTTTCTTTGCTGTGGTTTATTTTCTCTGGTGACAGCTATTTAGCCTTAGGCTTACTTCCATCTCGTGCAGTCCCTTTAAAATACACTGTAGAGATGGTTTCTGGGAGGTAAATTCCCTCAACTTTTGCTTATCTAGGAATTGTTTAATCCCTCCTTTATATTTAAATGATAATCTTGCTGGATACAGTATTCTTGGTTTGACATCCTTCTTTTTCATTGCATTGAGTGTATCATGCCATTCCCTTCTGGCCTGTAAGGTTTCTGCTGAGAAGTCTGATGATAGCCTGAAGAGTTTTCCTTTGTAAGTGATCTTTTTTCTCTCTCTGGCTGGTTGTAATACTCTGTCCTTGTCTTTGATCTTTGCCATTTTAATTATTATGTGTCTTGGTGTTGTCCTCCTTGGGTCCCTTGTGTTGGGAGATCTGTGGACTTCCATAGCCTGAGAGACTATTTCCTTCCCCAGATTGTGCAAGTTTTTAGCAAGTATTTCTTCAAAGACACTTTCTATCCCTTTTTCTCTTCTTCTTGTATCCCTGTAATGTGAATATTGTTCTGTTTGGATTGGTCACACTGTTCTCTTAATATTCTTTCATTCCTCGAGATCCTTTTATCTCTCTCTGCCTCAGCTTCTCTGTATTCCTGTTCTCTGAATTCTATTCCATTAACAGTTTCTTCCACCTCATCTAGTCTGCTCTTAAGTCATTCCATTGTTTGTTTCATATTTGTTATCTCCCTCTGGAATTCATCTCTTAGCTCTTAGATGTTTCTATATAGCTCCATCAGCATGCTTATGATTTTTATTTTGAGTTCTTTCTCAGGAAGATTGGTGATTTCAGTCTCACCATGCCCTCTCTCTGGTGTTTGAGTGATTTTGTACTGAACAAGGTTCTTCTGTCTTTTCATGCTGATGGGAGTGGTTGCTGGTGAGTGGCGTATGTGTCAGCTGGGAAAACAAAGACCCTTCCTGCTTGCTGGTCGCCTTGCCCTTCTCTGCTGCCTGTGCCAGTGAACCACGTGCAGGGGGCCGCCTCTGGGTTAATGCACTGAGCTGCTGCAGATGGGGTAGCCCTCGGGATGACCTAGGGCATTGGCGGGTGTTGGCAGGGAGCAGCATGTGTTCCCTGTGGGAACAAAGCCCCTTTGTGCCTCCGGGACTCTGCGCTGTCTCCACTGTCTGTGCTG